GCGGTCCTGGCCTGGCACGTAACCCGCCCCCTGCCCCGGCCTGCAATCAGTCGTGCCTGCCACGGAGTTAGCGGAGGAACAAAAGCCACTCTGTGGCGGCCATCCCTCAACCACAATAGGGCTTTGTGCGGCCCCCGCCCCCAGGGCTCCCCCGCTGGGCTGAAGGCGCGCCCCGGCTGCGCCCCCTGGCCTGGGCCCGACTGTGGGCGATGTCCCGGCTCACCGTCCCCTTCGTGGGTTTGAGAGCGGCGCTAGGGCGCCGAAGCGGGGGAAAGAGGCGGTGTGTCCGAGTCTGCGAGCGGGGCGGACTCGGGGCGCTAAACCCCTCCCCACCCGGTTGCCCTCCCACCCCGGCCAGGTGCTAAATCTGCCCACAGGCGGGGCGCGGCTTCAAAGGCGCTTTGAAGAAATCCGCGTTCGGAGGACATCTCCAGTGGGCTGGGGGCAGTGGCGAGAGGCAGACTGGATAGAGGGGGTTGGGGCGGCTGAAGGTGGAGGACGCCTGGGAACTGGCCTGCGAGAGGAGGCGGCCCCAAGTGGACCCCCGGCTCCCGCCCCCGCCCGCTCGGCAAACTCCCTGGGACCCCCCAGGGTCTGGCCCTCTCGCCTCCCGGTCTCCGCCTGCTCGGTGCCAGCTCCCGCCCGCCGCAGCCCCTCGGCCCCTTTCATCTTCCCTAGACTCCGCTTGGGGTTTTGCTGGTTTCTGGGAGATAAAAACCGCCTCAAATAGCGGCGGCGCGCCGCCAGGACAAACAGGGCCGGGCGGGCCATGTGCGCCTGGTTACCGGCCCCGGCCAGGGCGCCCGGGAAGGGGCGGCGGGCCGACTTCCAGGCACCCAGACTCCGGCGATGGCCCCGGCGCTGCCTCGGTTTCCTGCCCAAGTCGTAGGGAGGGGCGGTTCAGACCGCCCGCTAAGCTCTCTGAGCCCTCGAGGCTGTGGGTCACAGTCACAGTGTCGCCGGGGCCGCCGCGCCCCCTGGCGAAATTAGTGGAGAGTGCGCTAGGCCTGGACTTCAGCCTCCCCAGAATCTGCTAATTGTGAAACTCATTCAACAAACGTTAAATAAGCAGTATGGGGGAGGTGGTGGCGGAATGTGAATATACATAATATTGTTCCTCCTTTCCAGTTCACATTACACGGTAATAGGCAGTCACCCACCTGATAATTATATCGCGACCTGTTGGTGTAAATCAGGCTTCATTAAAGGGAGATGGAAGTTGCAGGTCCACCGGTCGGCGGGTTCTCCGATCTCTCCTCTAATGTCAGTCACAGGCTCCTTCTTTTCCTTCAAACCTGTCCTGCATTCCCTTCTCAAGGAGAGCTTTCCCAGCCAGCTTCCTCAAGTGAGTTTTTACATTATGCTCTTTAAGTCTTCTGTGACTCCCCAGATGACAGCAAATTAAAAGGGGTCTACTCAAAGTGTGGTCTGTGCAGTATCACCTGGGGGCTTTTTGGAAATTCAGCTTCAGTGCTCCACCCAGAATCTGCATTTTAGCAAGATCCTCAAGTGAGTCCTATGGCCATTAACATTCTTGAGCCCTTTGTTTTTTGACTGTGGAATAACTCTCTTGGGGGGAACTTTTCATGTAGAAAGGAGGGGCAAACACAGAATCCAAGAATGCTAAACTACAATGCCCCCTTAATTATCCCATGAGGCTAGCAGATCTTGGGAGTGGGCACTAAGCGTTATACGTCTCTGTCCCCAGAGCATGGTCTTTGGAATTACTCATTAACATTTGTTAAATGAATGAACCAATGCCCAAGGTTCTCCAGTTCATGGCAGTTATGGCTAATAATCCCAGATATCTGTTTAGCACTTTACAATTTATTAAATGGCTTCTTTTCCACTATTTTGAATGGGAAACAACCATGTGAAATAATTAGGATCACTGCAAGTGAGGAAGCTTAGGCTCAAAGAATTCAACTATTTCTCTAAAGCCACACAGCTATAAGCAGAGGAGCCCCCATTCTTCTTTAGATTCCAGTTCTAGTCTCATCCCTTAGAGTTGGAATAAGATCAATTTCACTTTTTTATTCTGGAGTCAGAATGCCTGGTTTTGGTGTTTTTAGGTGAAATTCCTCTGCCTCATTCTCTTCATGGTGTTATTACAGCACCTACCTCAGGGGGTTATTGAAAAGATTATACAAGCGCTTACCACAAGCTGAGGAAATGTTACTGTTTTCCAATTTTTCCTTCCAGGAGGCCTAACTCTGTGGGCCCTAGCTTCAGGCGGGCACAGCACTTTCGCTCCCAAGGTCTCTGCCTTTCCTTCTGGCGGCTTTCCAGCCAGCTGCCCGTGCATGACACAGTCTGTATTATCCTCAGAGCGATCCACAGTCCTGGGAGGGTTTAGGTACTTCCTTGAATGTGGCTTATTTGGGGCTTTCCGAGCACTGAGAGAGTGGGAGACTGTGTTGGGGAATTCGGAACTGGGAAAAACAGTCTCACAGGAAAACAAAAAAAAAAACCAAAAAGCGCTCCGACTCTTAACTAAGGGGTTGGCCCTGACAGTGTCCGCGCCGTTCTCCCGCCAGCCGCCAGGCGGCGCGCGAGGATGCTCCAGAAGTCTGACCCGGATTGCGCACGCGTCCTTCTCCGTTACTCTTCCCTTCACTTCCGTTGAGCTTTGTAATGCCGTTTGTCCCAGACGACTACCCGTACGCATCCGAATCTAGCCCGGGAACTCAGGAGTGAGATTCACGAGTTTGCGGATTCCGGACATCTTCGGGACGGCAAGATGTGCTCACTAGGGTTGTTCCCTCCGCCGCCGCGTAGGGGTCAAGTCACCCTATACGAGCACAATAACGAGCTGGTGACAGGCAGTAACTATGAGAGTCCGCCTCCTGACTTCCGGGGCCAGGTGGCCGGGGCGAGAAGGGAGAGGACCTACAGGGATGGGGCGGAGTCTGGGAGAACCCGGGACCTGAGACTGCGGGGTGGGGGCGGGGTCGCAGCCCTCACACTGGCGGACTGGAAACCGCCTGACCGCGGCTGGGGAATAGAAGGGCTGGGGTTGGATGGAGGATAAGGGATGTTGAGGATCTGTGGGGTAGGCCTAGAGGAAGTAGAGAGAATGAGGGCGAATCGAGAGGACGTGAGAGTGCAGGAGAACTATTGGAAAGTTAGGGACAGTATCTGGGAGAGTAGAGAAGGCCCAGCCTGGAATGCGTTTTTCTGTGGTGTTGTTGGGAAGGAAAAGGAAGAACACTGACATTTATTGAGCGTCTGCTATGTAAGGAGGCTCTGAGCCAGGTGTTCACAAATGTTATAAGATATCATAATCACAGCAACCCTGTGAAATATCGTAGTTTCACAGATAAGGGAGCTAAGTTCTGTTTTCTAGTCTCACAGATGTTACGTTTGTGGAAATGGGAAACAAGTCTCTGGAGCCTCTTAAACTAAACTCAGCCATGGGTTGGAGATAGCA